AGGATAATGTTAGAATGGAAAAAGCCGGGTTAGGATAGGGTTTTATTCGTCTGGGACAGGTAAGGATAGGGTTAGAATGGAAAAAGCCCGGGGAGGATAGTGTTTTATTCGTCTGGGACAAGTTCGGGTTAGAATGGAAAAAGCCCGGTTAGGATAGGGTTTTATTCGTCTGGGACAGGTTCGGGTTAGAAAGGAAAAAGCCCGTTTAGGATAGGGTTTTTTTCGTCTGGGACATGTTAGGATAATGTTAGAATGGAGAAAGCCCGGTTAGGATAGGGTTTTTTTCGTCTGGGACATGTTAGGATAATGTTAGAATGGAGAAAGCCCGGTTAGGATAGGGTTTTATTCGTCTGGGACAGGTTAGGATAGGGTTAGAATGCAAAAAGCCCGGGTAGGACAGTGTTTTATTCGTCTGGGAAAAGTTCGGGTTAGAGTGGAAAAAGCCCGGTTAGGATAGGGTTTTATTCGTCTGGGACATGTCAGGATAATGTTAGAATGGAAAAAGGCCGGGTAGGGTAGGGTTTTCTTCGTCTGGGACATATTAGGATAATGTTAGAATGAAGAAGGTCCGGTTAGGATAGTGTTTTATTCGTCTGGGACAGGTCAGGATAGGGTTAGGATGGAAAAAGCCCGGTTAGAAAGGGTTTAATTCGTCTGGGACAGGTTAGGATAGGGTTATAATGGAAAAAGCCGGGTTAGGATATTGTTTTATTCGTCTGGGACAGGTCAGGATAGGGTTTGGATGGAAAAAGCCCGGTTAGAAAGGGTTTAATTCGTCTGGCACAGGTTAGGATAGGGTTAGAATGGAAAAAGCCGGGTTAGGATAGGGATTTATTCGTCTGGGACATGTTAGGATAATGTTAGATTGGAGAAAGCCCGGTTAGGATAGGGATTTATTAGTCTGGGACAGGTTAGGATTAGAATGGAAAATGCCCGGTCAGGATAGGGTTTTATTCGACTAAGGCCGGTTAGGAAAGCGATAAAGTGAAAAGGTTAGCGCAACGTGAGAATCAGCCAAATCGCCGTTCTCAAGATTTTCAAGGTCTGGAGTTTCGGCCAGCGGCATGTTAGAATTCGCGTGGCCTGCACTGTGGGTTGTAATTGCGCACGAAATCCGGCGCGTCCAAGCGCGGAAATGAAAAGTCGGAACTTCCTCGATCCGGAGGACCGCGACCTGAGCATCAGAAATATCGCCGTTCTCAACATTTTCCAGATCTTGGAGGTTCGGCCAGCGGCATGTTATAATTCGCGTCGCCTGCACTGTGGGTCATAATTGTGCACGAAATGTAGCGCGTCCATCCGCGGAAATGAAAAGTCGGAAATTCCTCGATCCGGAGGACCGCGACCTGAACATCAGCCAAATCGCCCTTGTGAATATCTTCGAGGTCTTGGAGTTTCGGCAAGCGGCATGTTATATTTCGCGTGGCCTGCACTGTGGGTTGTAATTGCGCATGGAGTCCAGCGCGCCCAAGCGCGGAAATGAAAAGTCGGAAATTCCTCGATCAGAAGGATCGCGACCTGAGCATCAGCCAAATCGCCGTTCGCAAGAATTTCAAGATCTTGGAGTTGCGGCCAGCGGCATGTTATAATTCGCGTGGCCTGCACTGTGGGTTGTAATTGCGCATGGAATCCAGCGCGCCCTAGCGCGGAAGGGAACAGTCGAAAATTCCTTGATCCGGAGGACCGCGACCTGAGAATCAGCCGTATCGCCGTACTCAAGATTTTCAAGGTTTTGGAGTTTCGGCCAGCGGCATGATAGATTTCGCGTGGACTGCACAGTGGGTTGTAATTGCGCACGGAGTCCAGCGCGCCCAATCGCCGAAACGAGAAGTCGGAAATTCCTCGATCCGGAGGACCGCGACCTGAGAGTCAGCCAACTTGCCGTTCTCAAGATTTTCAAGATCTTGGAGTTTCGGCCAGCGGCATGTTATAATTCGCGTGGCCTGCACTGTGGGTTGTAGTTGCGCACGGAGTCCAGCGCGCCCAATCGCGGAAACGAGAAGTCGGAAGTTCCTCGATCCGGAGGACCGCGACCCGAGCATCAGCCATATCGCCGTTCTCAACATCTTCAAGAGCTTTTAGTTTCGGCCAGTGGCATGTTACAATTCACGTGGCCTGCACTGTTGGTTGTGATTGCGCACGGAATCCAGCGCGCCCAAGCGCGGAAATGAAGAATCGGAAATTCCTCCATACGGAGGACCGCGACATGAGAAACAGCTAAATCGCCGTTGTGAACATTTTCGAGGTCTTGGAGTTTCGGCCTGCGGCATGATATATTTCGCGTGGCCTGCGCTGTGGGTTGTACTTGCGCACGGAATCCAGCGCGCCCAAGCGCGGAAATGAAAAGTCGGAAATTCCTCGATCCGGAGGACGGCGACCTGAGCAGCAGCCAAATCGACGTTCGCAAGAATTTCAAGATCTTGGAGTTGCGGCCAGCGGCATGTTATATTTCGCGTGGCCTGCATAGTGGGTTGTAATTTCGCATGGAATCCAGCGCGCCCAAGCGCGGAAATGAAAAGTCGGAAATTCGTAGATCCGGAGGACCGCGACCTGAACATCAGCCATCTCGCCGTTCTCAAGATTTTCAAGATCTTGGAGTTTCGGCCAGCGGCATGTTATAATTCGCGTGGCNGAAAAGTCGGAAATTCCGCGATCCGGAGGACCGCTACCTGAGAATCAGCCAAATCGCCGTTCTCAATATTTTCAAGAAGTTGGAGTTTCGGCCTGCGGCATGTTAGAATTCGCATGGATTCCACTGTGGGATGTAATTGCACAGGGAATCCAGCGCGTCCAAGCGCGGAATTGAGAAGTCGGTAAACGCTCGATCCGGAGGAACGCGACCGGAGCCTCAGGCAAATCGCCGTTCTCAACATTTTCAAGATCTTGGAATTTCGGCCAGCGGCATGTTATAATTCGCGTGTCCTGCACTGTGGGTTGTAATAGCGCACGGTATGCAGCGCTTCCGTTCGCGGAAATGAAAAGTCGGAAATTCCTCGATCCGGTGGACCGCAATCTGAGAATCAGCCAAATCGCCGTTCTCAAGATTTTCAAGATCATGTAGTTTCGTCCAGCGGAATGTTATAATTCGCGTGGCCTGCACTGTGGGTTGTAATTGCGCACGGAATACAGCGCGCCCATGCGCGGAAATGAAAAGTCGGAAATTCCTCGATCCGGAGGACCGCGACCTGAGCATCAGCCAAACCGCCGTTCTCAATATTTTCCAGATCTTGGATGTTCGGCCAGCGGCATGTTAGAATTCGCGTGGCCTGCACTGTAGTTCGTAATTGCGCACGGAATACAGAGCGCCCATGCGCGGAAATGAAAAGTCGGAAATTCCTCGATCCGGAGGACCGCGACCTGAGAATCAGCCAAACAGCCGTTCTCAAGATGTTCAAGAACTTGGAGTTTCGGCCAGCGGCATGTTAGAATTCGCGTGGCCTGCACTGTCGGTCGTAATTGCGCTCGAAATCCAGTTCGTCCTAGCGCGGGAATGAAAAGTCGGAAATTTCTCGATCCGGAGGACCGCGACCTGGGACCCTATTCTTGAAGTCATGCGAAAATTCTCGTATGCGGAAAATCTCGCATAATTTATCTCGCATGCGGCTTGAGAATTCTATTCCTGACTATCATTCGAGTTGCAATATGCGAGGAATTCCATGTACGAGATTCGTTCGTTGTTGCCACAGTTCCACAGATATCAGTAGCCAATAGCGACGAAGTTTGAGAAGAAAGCTGTAGCCGTGTCAGTAATCCAACAGTCAAGTAGACATTGCCACGCAATTAAACGTTTACAAAACAAAAACCAATATGGCGGATAAAGTAACGTCAGAAAAACGAGGATACATTAATGGAGAGCAGAAGTATTATCTTATTGGTAAGTAATGAATTTTCGGCTTGAAAGGTCGGCATTAGTAGTATAGGAACCACTATGGGTAGACTAAACAAATGACGTCACCGGCGCCGAGTCAGCCTGTGACGTCACGTTACGTCACGTACCCCCACTCCTCTCATTTACCATAGTGCCGAGAGTGGTGGGGGTACGCTAGAGCGCGGGTCGCGAGTGAGAGAGAGAAAGACTATCTTCCGAGAGAGAGGGATGTATAGGGTTGTAGAGGGGGGGTACGCTAGAGCGCGGGCCGCGAGTGTGAGAGAGAAAGACGATCTTCCGAGAGAGAGGGATGTATAGGGTTGTAGAGGGGGTACGCTAGAGCGCGAGCAGTGAGTAAGAGAGAGAGAGGTGTGTATGCCTGGGACGTCGCGTCACGTCACGTACCCCCACTCCTCTCATTTACCATAGTGCCAAGGTTGGTGGGGGTACGCTAGAGCGCGAGCCGCGAGTAAGAGAGAGAGAGCCTCGCTAGAGAGGCAAAGAGGCATGTACAGGGCCCCGCGTATCGCTGATAGCGAGGGCGTCCATTACGAAATAGGAGGGGTGAGAGTACGCGAGCGTCTTATCACCTGAATGAAATTCCTTCGTAGTAAGAACGGCCATTACAAAGTAGGAGGGTCGGTCGTGCGCGAGCGTCTTACGCATGAATGAATGAAATAGTCGGAAGCGATTTAAGACTCCGCATATCACTGCTAGCGAGAGCGGCCATTACGAGGTGGGAGGGCTACGCGAGCGTCTTATCACCTGAATGAAATTCCTTCGTAGTAAGAACGGCCATTACAAAGTAGGAGGGTCGGTCGTGCGCGAGCGTCTTACGCATGAATGAATGAAATAGTCGGAAGCGATTTAAGACTCCGCATATCACTGCTAGCGAGAGCGGCCATTACGAGGTGGGAGGGCTACGCGAGCGTCTTATCACCCGAATGCAAAGATGGCCGACTAACCCGATGATTTGAATTAAACGTATCGCGTCTCACGCTACAACATCTGGTGTCGAGTATGCTGCCCCATAATGCGCAACGCCCAGGTTTAATAGAGTGAAATTAAGGAAATCACAACTAGGTGGCTCACGTGAAATTAATTGCTGGCCCTGAAAAGGGCCGATTAAATGTTTCGGGTTTTTTAGTCCTCCTCCTCCTCCTCCGCCTGCGGTGCTGCAGCTGCAGCCGCCAACATCCTTTCGCGAAGAGCCTCGCCGTTGTATATTACGCCGTTCACGACCACCCATACTGTGCCGTCCTCCAAAATGATGGGGTACGGTTGTGAGGCACCCTCCGGGAGAGCCTCGAGCCCGAGGCGCAGCCTTAGCAGCTCGCGTTCCCGGAGCTGTAGCCACGATAGGGGGGCCCACATCCCCGGCGCTATTGCCCACCTCTCGACACCGTCGTCAAAGTTTTGTACCACGACGATGCGGCGCGGGAGTCCCTGATCGGCTGGGATCAGCGCAGGCATCTCTGGATTGAAGCCGGCCGGGATTAACGGCGGCATCTCCGGATCCACAGCGTCGTCCTCCTCCTCCTCCAGTATTACCGGCTCGTCCTCCTCGCGCACTATTTCCTCGACTCGCCGCTCACGACCCGGACCTCCCCATTCGCGCGGAGCCATGGCTACTTAGCGAATGTTCCTCTCAACGCATTGAAAGTACCACCCCGACGTATCGAGAGTATCAAGTTCTAAGAAGAAGATCGCTAATGCAACCCATCCGTACACGCGCAACACAAACATTTGAAGCGGTGTGAAAGACCGTCAGGTCGGAGTCAGCAAATTTTTAATGTCCCTATATTCGCGGAAGGAGATGTATAATGCGAGATAAAATTATACAGGCTTGGGAAAATTAGCGATTCGCGCCCTGAGCGATCTTCTGCTAATGTTTCGCAGAACCTATGGCAAATTTTTTGTTGTTTCATTTGAGAACAAAAGCCATGGTAAATTGAGTACCGGCGATGAAGAGATAATCGCCGAAATTGCGTACCAAA